TTTTTTTTTTTTTTTTTTCTTTTTTTTTTTTAGAAAAAATCCTAAGTGATGATCAAAATCCTAGTGACGCCCCTGCTTCATGCAACCTAGTTTAAAAGAAATATATTACTATTGCACAGTAGAGTATAGGCCTACTTCAAGTAGGCCTAATGCTATTAATAATAGTTTATTAAAACACACAGAAGCTCAAATGTCTTTAATTTAAAACAGTTTATAGTGATAAATAAAGTAACTCAATGGAATTATGAAAGAAATTGCATAGTAAAATGTAATTTATAAAATAATAATAATTAAATCTATTAAGACAGAACTTTAAAGGAATATTACACAAGTTTTGAAAATTTTTCGCAAATGGGTGGTGGTGGCGGCGGGCGGGCAGGCGGGGGGGTGGGGCTGCTGGTATATCACAGTATACTCACTACAAAAAACTAGACTACACCACTGGTGCAGACGCCCATTAAAAATCGAGTGTTTCTGAGCTGGGCTGAAAACTAGGGTAGAAAATAGCTACTTATTCATTTTGATGTTTTTGAATGCTAAAACCAAGCGAACATCATAATTTCACCTCAGACAACAATATAATAAAATTTAAAAAGCCAGTTCATGACCCCTTTAAAGTGTGCATACGCACAAAAGTTTTCAGATTTATAAAACCGTACGTACGCCAGAACCTGCGCAAAATTCACTTCATATATCCCAGTCAGCGGAAGAATGCGCGCACGTGCATCTCCTCCCCAAAATAACCATAAATGGAGTTTACAACGCCTAGTTTTACTATGCATATCCTCATCTGCATATAATTTGCATATGATTATTCATCCACGTGATACCATGTTTAATGGTAAGACATTAGTAAAATATGAAATGTGGATGTGCCGTCACATTATTACAAACATATATTTTTTAGTAGCCTATATCCTTGCCATGTTTTTGAATAAATAAATCAAATAGTGTTAAATAGCCTACATTTCAGAGAAGGATTTTCTCAATCTTTTCCACTGGCCAAATAGTATTTTTAATTGACTTATATTTTAATGGAAACGATAGACCTTGTTGTGCATTATTTGCATGAAAAATTTTTTTTTTCAGACAATCTGCTATTAGCTAGGCTGTCAGTTAAAACATTAAAACTCAGCATACCAGAGGAAAAGTGTTCAAAAGCATTGCATCCACAACAAATAGGTCTATTTCTATTTATTGATAGCCTACATTTTTTTGTAACTTCTTAGTAATGATTTCATGTAGTTTAAGTGTTTAACTCCATTAATGAGAATGGCATATTTAATCTAAATGTTTATATCAGAAGTAAACATAGTTTAAATCATTATTTTATTGATTTAAACTGTTATTGTGAACATGCACTGTATTTATGATTAGGACTCATAATGAAGATTTACGGTTTTACTTCATGCCGTTAGATAGGCTACGCGTCAGTTTCACCAAACGGCCCAACGCGCTCATGGCGCAGACATTTAAAAATAGATGGATGTTTGCTTCAAGTGATGATAGGTTTGTGAAATTATATTTGAATTATGTTTCTGTAGATGTATAATTTTCTTTAGATTCTCTGTCTAATAGTGACCAAAAAGACATTTAACTCCAGCTCACCATCGGTGTCGCCAAAACACATAGGCTACTCTTCTAAAAGAGTGCGTACGCACGGTCAGGAGCATCCTTACGGTGCGCACTTATTTACTCCAAGTTTGTTTTTTATAAATCCCGATATGTGCGTGGAAAAATGCGTATGCATATTTCTATGCCCATTTTGTGCATACGCAACGTTTATACATCAGGCCCCAGGATTATAGCTTGTCAAGTGTTGAAAATTGTATATAGTGTTTGAACAAACGTGTCAGAAAAAGTGCACTTTCCACACGGACCCTTACTCAAGAGCGAGCTTTCCCGGCGAAACTCACATTGCGGTGGCTTTTGAGGGACAGTGCTTATTATATAGAGTGAAGTCATATTTGGCTAAGTCATTTAGGAGGTAATTGCCATTTTTCAATGAATGTCGGGTGAATATCAAAAACAAAACTAACTTTACCCCACTTAGAAGCTGCGCGGAGTGTACACAACACACAGACCCCAATATAACTATATTGTGCATGAAAACATAACAGCAAACATTATTAATAATACTTACAGATTGTGATTCGAAGGAGGACGAACCTGATCCATATACACTGGATACTGAGCCCTCCTTCGGGAACAACCCGCTTGCGAATCCACATTTGAATTCATTTATGTTTTTTAATGATTCGTCATTAAAATGATGAGAACGCAAGGTTCGGGCTATGCTGTTGTGGTATCGTTGCAAATATGAACTCTAACCACCGATTCTTCACATGCTCGTCCCTGGGCAATGAAAACAAGTGGCTGAACTGTCTTAGCAATGTAGAACACAGCGTCTTCTCGACATGATGCGATTCAGCTGAAGTATTGTGAAGTGTGTTCTAGACTAGACTTCAAGTTTACACTCCCGTCTGCACGCGCAGTTGTTGGGAGCGGCCAATGAGCTAATGTTTTGTATCTATGTCATGACGTAACAGCTAATGACTCGTTTCAAAAACATTAAAACAATTCATTTCACAGACTCAGAGTCGACTCTCACTTTTGAAAGACAATAACTTTATGTACGGTGCACTTTCAGATATAAATCTTTGCAGGATGTTTTCATTCCCTTAGAGCTATATTCCACACTACATGAACAGTCATTTTCAAAAATCCATGATAGGTGCTCTTTAAATTAACACTCAAGAGTGTTAAAGTTATTGAATTAATTAAGTGATTAATTTAGTGATGATTGAACATTATTAAAGACAACTGATGTTAACAAACAGAATCACTGAAAGAGAAAATCACAAATTGTAAGCCACCGTTATGTGATCAGTGTTTGCTTTAGTTGGGCTCTTGACCCTTATACTTTCACTTTAAACTTTGCCTGTTTACTGTTATTGATTTATAACTGCCAAATGAACAAAGAAAACTGTGAGTTGATAGTGTTGGTAATGTTTTGACATGATCATGCTGTGATCTGAAACTTATTCAGATTAGTGATGGCCGGTTCGTGAACGAATTGTTCTTTTGAACCGGTTCTTTTTTGTTGAACCGGTCGAACCAGTACACTAAATCGGACTGAATCGTTCGAAACAGTTCGCGTCTTGCGTCAGCGCTAAACCACAAGTTACTAAAGTTACTCACTTTCAGACATGCCTGACAGTCTTTATTCCAGTAACTCAAAAAGTTCACTGAACGGAGACATATGTTGGTCCTGAGAGAAGTGATGAGCACGAGCAGCTGATACTGCGCATGCGTGTACTACCGAACATACAGGTACAGCGGTCGGATAACCAGTATAGTAGAACCGAGAACTGTTTCTTTCGGACACGTTCGACATACTGAGAACTGATGAGTTGATGAGCTGAGCATGCGTGCATTTTTTTCTGAGGGACGAAATGTACGTTTCCAAGTCTTTAGTTGAACATCAGTAAGTGTAACAAAATAAAACATTTTGGAAACATGTTTATCACATAATTACTGTATTATCACTGTATTATTTTAACGATTGGAAACAATGATTGGATTCTAAAACTGTCAAACTAAACATTTATTATTATACTAAAATAATATTTTCAGGAACAGCTCAGCGAAGGAACAGCGAATCGGCGAAATGTAAGTTTATTTAATAACAAGTAAAATGATGAAGACCATTTATGCATTTTATATATTTAAAGCCTGTAAAACATCCGCGTTAGCACATCGCCTAGGCTGCAGCAGGGTTCGTTTTCAAAATGTAAATGTAAGAAACTTATCCAAGATGATTATGACGATGTGTACTATTATTTAACTGAAATTATGATTACAAATGCCTTTAATTTGAAGTATTTTTATCCGCCGGGATGATAAAATTGACATCATTACGTGATGACATAAAAGAACTGGTGAACTGTTTTTTTGAACCGGTTCTTTAAAATGAACTGTCCGAAAGAACCGGTTCGTGGAAAAGAACCGGACTTCCCATGACTAATTCAAATGGTTTTATTTAACTTGTTAGCAACAGTTTAGTAGTTCTACAGCATAGAATAATCCACCTTTTCTTATAATTCAAAACATTTAATAAAAACTGTTCTGATCAAATCACTTTCAAATGCATTCATTTAGAAACACAGACATCAATAATCAGCCTGTGAATCTCTATCGTGGTGACAATAACAATCATTGTTGCCACCAATCACAACTCATTATTGGCTCCAATCTTGCATTGCAGTATGAATAAATTATGATCTGAATTGTCTATGTAATTTACTTTTCCTAATTGAATATTCTGATCGTCACCATTGCTGAGATGCATTGAGTGAATCTTGAGGTCTGTGTGTCCTTCGAAGAAGATTTTAGAGTGAAAGTATAAGGGTCAAGAGTCCAAAAGACATATCACCATAGTGGTGGGTTACAATTTGTAAGTTTCTCTGTCAGTGAATCTGCTTGTTAACATCAAGTGTGTCTTCATCAATGCCCCAATCATCACTTAGTTATCGCATTAACTTTTACACTCTTGTGTGTTAATTTAACACTCATATCTGCATCATATATTCCATCTAAAAGCAAGTGAAGGTGATATACTACTTTTCAAGGACCTAGCTTTACTGATGAGATGCGTAGAACAATGCCATGCGATATATCGCCCAGCCCTATCATACTCCAGTCCTCGCGACCCACTGCTCTGCATATTGTGTATGTCTCCCTTATCTAACACACCGTGTGTTAAATAAGGGAGACACACACAAAATGCAGAGCAGTGGATCGAGGACTGAAGGACTGGAGTTGAGAACCACTGCGATAGGCCATTGGCGTGCAAAGAGGCCATTGGTGTCCGTTGCTCTGAGTCTGCGATCAACTCAGGTTTATGATGATGCTTTTGGAAAATACAGCCCTGATCTGTAGCCTACATACATTAGAAAACATTCAGAAAATAAGCCAATAGAGACAGTGTGTTACATTACCAGCTGGTGTGTTAATGCTGCCAGTGTCTGAAAGTTTGGATGAATAGTGATTAATGAACAGAAACACAAATATCACAAAATTGTAAGAGCTCATGTGAATATAATTACCTGCACAGTATGCTGAATTACAGAGAGTTGGACTGACCAGCTCATAGACATAATAATCTCCTGGACAGGCTTTGACTTTAATGGGAGATAACGTGTATCGGCAGCAGTAATTGCTATCATCAGCACAGACATCTCGAGTGACGACTCCATCTGTTACTGTTGGGTGTCCACCACGGATCCACAGTGTGATATCAGTGCCACAGCTTCTCCTCGCAACACACGTGTCTGGGATCTGAGCGCTCATGTTGTTAATGAAGAGACGATACCAGCCACTCCAGGAGACAGACTGGTCACAGTTTTTTACTGAATTATATGTCTTACGGATGGCTCTCCATCTATCATCCAGCACAGTGTAGTTGTTGCAGGGGTCTGACAGATTAGCTGTAATGAAAATATATTAAGAAATAAACAAGTTTCTGAAAAACATGTTTTATTACAAAATGTAACCAAAATACAGCTTTAGACATTACTTTTCTTCTTATTCCTCTTTTACTGATTCAGAGCGAATCATTTCGATCCACAATATTTTTTTTTTCAAATGCACTTATACTATTATTTAAATATCAACCCACATAGCAACATAATTTCACATCTAGCACTTGTGGCATGCGGATGTGGCCCACGTGCAGCATTGAATGACGGCCCTTGGGTGGCCCACTTTACGTGGAGAGCAGAATGAAGTGAAAGAAGTGGTTGATGTTTTGAGTGGTTTCTCTACACAAGTAAATAAATCACGTTATACACAGTGAGCAACATTTTGATGTCACAGATCCGGCCCACATCTGGCACATGTGGAAGGATGATCTGGGCCACAAGCAGGCCATAGCAATGCCACATGTCAGCCAAGAGCAGGGATGTAGTTTAGGCTAAACGCACGTAAACGCCGTTTACGCACCTCCCAAATTCGGAAATAGCGTTTACCCACCTCCAAAGTGAGTTTATCCACCTCTCAATTGCGTTTATCCACCTCTAAATATCCTGCATGTAGTTCTTAAGACATTTTAAATTAAGCTTTTGTCGTTTTAGTTTCATATTGTTCATTATTAGTTTCATAGGTTGTTAAACCTAAGACGAACTCTTTCATATTGTGCTGCATTACTGTCAGTGTTGTTGACTATTACGGACGGTTGCACTGTTGACGCTCGCGCAGCCTCTCGAGCAGAAATCTACACAAATGAGCGCAGAACACACTCAGTTAACAACATAGGCGACTGCCTATAAAAATCTAAATACATATCTAACATATGTTAAACAACCTCAATTATTTTCCTGAACGGCCATCATGATTGAAAATGTGACATTGATTTCCTACAACAGTTTAAACAGTAAAAATTAAATCACTTACATTTTAGATGCAATATTGGCTGTTTTTGTTCTGTTTCAGCAGCGAGAATAGTTCCAAACAAAAATCACAGCGGAACCACGGAGCATGTCACAGGAACACTCGAACTGTTTTCATTACTGAATGATTCAGCATTTTGAACGAATCGATTGAGTGACCCATTCATAAACATCTCATTCGTGAATGATCAGCCGTTTGAACGAAAGGTTTGAATAAATGAATCAATGACTCACTCATTAAGACGGTCGCCTGCCGCCACCTACTGGCGGCATAGTGTTAAATGTTTAAAAGTAGTATCTTTCCAAGTTTATTATGTAAATTTAAATAAATTTCATAATATTATTTTATACAATTGTAATGTTTCAGTGTAAATGATTTAATTTGATCAGCCCCTAGGGTAACAGCCTGTAGTGTCTTATTATTCGAAATAATTGAATTTATTGATCAAATGTAAGAATTTAAAATGAAAGATGAAGCATACATTTAATAATATTGGGTGAGGGGATGCCCTTTAAAGGTGCAGATATTAAAATAATGTGATTTAAATATCAAAGCTGATTGAACACTGATGAGAATATTGTTACAGAATAAATGAACACACACAAAATAAAAATAAAAAATCTGGACAAGCAACTTTTTTACTGAGACAAATGAATGGCAGATTTATTTGTCCAAAAGACAAGCGTATGAAAAGGCTTAATGTCGAGGCCTCCCTATGTTATCAGGTAATACACATACACCGTAGGCAGTGGCCCACCTTACCTGTTGACCACGTCGTGGTCCACCAGAATTTATAGTTTACCCACCTCTTTTTTTACCACTACACCTCTGGCCAAGAGCAAAGAAATAAACCAGAACTGGACTTTATCTGAGCCACAAAATCGGTGTATATAAAACATGGAGTCATCTCAACTGTGACGCTGTGCGGAGAAACAGAGCTGAGGCTGGGTCCAAACGCAGTGTAGCTTTATTAAACAAACTTAAAACAAGACACTAGAAGCAGGACTCGAGAAACTTGAGAGCACCAACGTAACACACATAAATTTAACAACCAACAAAGACAGGGCAGAAACACAGGGCTTAAAACAGGTGAACTAAACAAGATGATAAAACACAGGTGCATGAAATAAACCATAATCAGTCCAGGGTAAAACATGAATGAAACAATAAACTAGGAAGGAGTGCCCCCCAGAGGCTCAAGCGGGCACTCCAGCCGCAGATCGTCACATAACCCCCCCTCTAAGGAGCGGCTTCCAGACGCTCCTAGAACGATCCAGGCGGGGGGCAGAGTGAAGGTGATCCCGGGGGAGGGACGGAGGGCCAGGCCCGTGCAGGGGAACAGGACCAGGAGGTAGCCAAGGCGGGCCTGGGCCGCAGAGCATGGGCATACCAGACTGGGCCGGAGACCAAGGCGGAGCAGGACGAGGCGGAGGCCAGGGCGGAGCAGGACGAGGCAGAGGCCAGGGCGGAGCAGGACGAGGCAGAGGCCAGGGCGGAGCAGACTTTGGCGGAGCAGACTCAGACAGAGACGAGGGCGGAGCAGGACGAGGCGGAGGCCAAGGCGGAGCAGACACAGGCAAGGTCCATGACAGCCTCGCCTCCATGGCCCTCACAGACTCAGAGGTCCATGTCAGGATCACCTCCATGGCCCCCACAGAGTACCTACTGCCCCCCCCAAAAAAATACTTGGGGAAATTCACGGGAGGAGCCTCTGGGTGGTGAACGGGTACAGGAAAGGCCTCCCGGAGCTTGAAGGGTGCAGGCAGAGCGAGGCGCAGAGGCGGGGCCGGCAGGGCGAGGCGCAGAGGCGGGGCCGGCAGGGCGAGGCGCAGAGGCGGGGCCGGCAGAGCGAGGCGCAGAGGCGGGGCCGACAGGGTGAGGAGTCTGGGCATGCTCACCGGGGCCTGGCGAACCAAACGAGTCCTCCTTCTCCTCCTGTGGCGGCGCGTCACAGGGCTAGACACACTCGCTGGGCTGGACAACTCACTCACTTGAACTGGAGATGCAGCGCTCACTTGAAGAGGAGATGCAGCGCTCACTTGAAGAGGAGATGCAGCGCTCACTTGAAGAGGAGATTCAGCGCTCACTTGAAGAGGAGATTCAGCGCTCACTTGAAGAGGAGATTCAGCGCTCACTTGAAGAGGAGATTCATCCACTTGAACAGGATCACTCACTTGAACTGAAGATTCACTCACTTGAACAGGAGACTCGCTCACTTGAACTGAAGATTCGGCACTCACTTGAACTGAAGACTCAGCCCTCACTTGAACTGGAGATTCATCCACTTGAACAGGAGATTCATCCACTTGAACTGAAGATTCACTCACTAGAACCGGAGACTCATCCACTTGAACTGGAGATTCATCCACTTGAACTGGAGATTCATCCACTTGAACAGGATCACTCACTTGAACTGAAGATTCACTCACTTGAACCGGAGACTCATCCACTTGAACTGGAGATTCATCCACTTGAACTGGAGATTCATCCACTTGAACAGGAGATTCCCTCGCGGGGCTCACGTGAATCGCGAGTTCGGCTGGGCTGACGTGAAGCGCGGGCTCGGCTGGGTTGACGTGAGTCGCGGGCTCATCAATGCGCACGTGAAGCGCGGGCTCGTCGTGACTGACGTGAACCAGCGATGAAGACGACGAGGGCTTCGCGGGTAAAGTACACTCGGCAGGTGTCGAGTAGAATAAGCGCGCAGTAGTGAAGAGGTCCTGCAAGGAACAAGCCCGAGCGACATACCCGTCAAGAGTCCAGTTGGCAAGGTCCCGCGGCATCCATCGAGCGATCTCATAATCCAGCCCATTCAGAAACAGGCCCATGAGCTGGATATCATCTAGCGCTCCCAGACTGCTAATGGACAGGAACTCCTTCGCGTACCTTTGGACAGACCGGCCCTCTTGCAAGACTGACGACAGGTATTCTGTCATAGCCCGGTTGCTGACGACTGCTGGACCCATCTTGAGGTTGGTTGTTCTGTGACGCTGTGCGGAGAAACAGAGCTGAGGCTGGGTCCAAACGCAGTGTAGCTTTATTAAACAAACTTAAAACAAGACACTAGAAGCAGGACTCGAGAAACTTGAGAGCACCAACGTAACACACATAAATTTAACAACCAACAAAGACAGGGCAGAAACACAGGGCTTAAAACAGGTGAACTAAACAAGATGATAAAACACAGGTGCATGAAATAAACCATAATCAGTCCAGGGTAAAACATGAATGAAACAATAAACTAGGAAGGAGTGCCCCCCAGAGGCTCAAGCGGGCACTCCAGCCGCAGATCGTCACATCAACCTTAAAGGGGGGGTTGATCGCGATATCACTTTTTTGATTTTAAATAGTGTGTAATGTTGCTGTTGGTGCATGAAAACTATCTGCAAAGTTGCAGCGCTGAAAGTTCAGTGTAAGCAGAGATATCGTCTTTTAAAAATCAGGAAGTTTAATGCCTACAAAAACGACTTGATTGGGACTACAGCCGGGTTTTAGACGCACTTACATCAACCCTCCCTCTGGAATATGCAAAAAAGGGCATGGCCATATTTCTGCGGCTTGTTGAGTGTGTTGTTCATCCAGATGTCAGGTCTTCTGTGTTCAGGCTTCCCACGGATGCTGTAGTTCGTTAACAATGGAATTTATGTTTGATTATGTGAAATGACGATCGTAATTTAGCTCTCTGTGCTGTGCATTTACTGAAGACAGCTTCCAGAATCTCAAAGAATTCAACACCGGATTCAACAAGAAACTGTTTCTAAAACATGAAGCAGTTCCAATTTTAAAACCAGAGGCAGCAGTTGTTGGGCCACAACCTGTAGGCTAAGACTTAATCATTTTAAATGTATTTGTATGTATAATTTTAGACGTAATGTTTTAGTTTTATCAAATGCCAGCGCTAGCTTTATAGCCACTAGGCAGTGTTGTATAAAGTAGAAGTAGAAGTAGAAAAAAAGTAGAAGTCCTGCCATGTGTTTATTCCAGCCATGAACTGATTGAAAGTTGATTAGGGCTGATTTCTGTCTCCTGGCTGAAAAACTACTAATAAGCAAATCCAGGTGATTGGAACAAAATACTGAGGCGGACTTTTACTTTCTGAACCTGGACTTTACTCTTCTGAAGAGAATAGAAAAGGAGATGACACAGTCTTAAATGAAATCACCTGAAGAGAAGACATTAAATCTGAAGATCTCAGCAGAGGAGGATTAAACAACTCCACAAACAGCATTACCAGCTTCACTTATTACTAACCAGACTGACTTTTTTCTGTCAGACTTCTACAGAAGATTTTATTGAGAATTAACAGAGGTTTACTCTGTGTTTCATTTGAAGTCACCATACCGTCAGAATCTCTGAAGGAGAAAATCGTAATTGGTTACCATTATAGAGATCAGTGTAGAGATCAGAGATCAGTCTTTAGTTGGGCTCTTGAGCCTTACATTAACTTTAGGATTTGTTCAGCTGTTGTATCTGAGTTAAAACAGTCAGATGAACAAAGAAAAAAACATACAAACTAATAGTTTTGGTTATATTGCGACAATCGTCATTTGAATTTATTATTTGTGATTTATTTTGTTGGTTACAGCATAACTGAGATTCTGCATAAATATCCAGAATTTATAATGTAAAGGATTTCTTAAAAGTTGTAAAAAAAAAAAAAAATCCTTAGTAAAGGCACGCACAGACCTCAAAATTCAGTCAATGCTTCTCAACAACGGTGACGAGCAGAATATTCAATTAGGAAAAGTAATTTACATAGACAATTCAGATCATAATTTATTCAAACCGCAATGCATGATGGGAGCCATTAATGAGTTGTGATTGGTGGCAACAAGGATTATGTGGTCACCACGGTTGAGATTCACAGGCTGATTATTGATGTCTGTGTTTCTAAATAAATGCATTTGAAAGTGATTTGATCAAATAATTTATATTAAATATTTTGGAATATTTGAAAAATATATTGATAATCATATGCTTTATAACCACTAAAATGTTGCTATCAAGTTAAACCAAATTATATGAAAAGTTTCATTTTACAGATCACAGCATGATAATGCCAAAACAACCTACACTGTCATATCACAGTTGTCTTTGTTCATTTGACTGTTATAAATTAATAACAGCAATCAAACAAAGTTTAAAGTGAAAGTAAAAGTGTCAAGAGCCCAACTAAAGCAAACACTGATCTCCATAACGGTGTCTTACAATTTGTGATTTTCTCCTTCAGTGATTCTGCTCGTGATCATCAGGTGTCTTCAATAATGCTCAATCATCACTAAATTAATCACTTAACTATCTCATTAACTTTAACACTCTTGAGTGTTAATTAACAGTATTGTCCATCTGAAAGCAGGTGAAGGTGATTTACTTCTAATCAAGGAACCGGCTTCACTGATTAGACGCGCATAACAATATTGTGCTATACATCGCCCAGCCCTAGTCACAGGTTTTGTTTTTTGAAAATAATTTGTCAAAATAATTATTATATTCAAATACCACAGTGAATCAGGCTTTTCCATGATGATTATAAAACCATCACCAGGTAATCTTGGTCACCTGATTCCGTTGAACTTTTGTTACTGTAAATGTGTTTGACAAACACACTGTCACAGCAGACAGAAGAGATCAAATATATTATAAGAGTAAAGAGCCTGGCTAATGGAAACACTAATCACTGTTATGGTGACTTCAAATGAAAGAGTTAAACCTCTGTTAATTCACAATAAAATCTTCTGTAGAAGTCTGACAGAAATAAAGTCAGTCTGGTTAGTAATAAGTGAAGCTGGTAATGCTGTTTGTGGAGTTGTTTAATCCTCCTCTGCGGAGATCTTCAGATTTAATGTCTTCTCTTCAGGTGATTTCATCTGTGTCGTCTCTTTTTCTATTCTCTTCAGAAGAGTAAAGTCCAGGTTCAAAAAGTAAAAGTCCTCCTCAGTATTTTGTTCCAATCACCTGGATTTGCTTATTAGCAGTTTTTCAGTCAGGAGACAGAAATCAGCCCTAATCAACTGTCAATCCGTTCATGGCTGAAAGTAAGACATGGCAGAATTTCTACTTTCTACTTCTAGTTTATACAACACTGCCACTAGGCTACTAGTTATGCTATTTTGTGTCTACGACAAATGCGTTCAAACATTTTGGACCTGAATTTGTATATGTATATATGAAGTACATTTTCTAACTTTACCTGAAAAACTTTTTTTTTTTTTTTAGTGTACATTACCTGCAGTCGTCACTGGTGTTACAGTTGAAGAGGCCAAGTACAGTATTAAGACATCTAAAAAATAATTATAAATACAAATGAATCAACATGTTTCATAGAACACAATGAAATAGCAGTCAAATAAACAAATGTTAATATAATATTTTACTTAAAGTAACAGTTTACCTAAAAATTCAAAAGTTCTGTCATCATGACTTTCACAGAATAATGTTCACAGCAAAGTCCCCAGTGTTAAATTAACACTCTGAGAGTGTGGACTCATATAAACACTGAAGCAGTGTTGAAGTAAAACTAGGGATGCAACGATACCGTTTTTTCAAAAACCGATCCGATCCGATACCAAAATTCTGAGTATCGGCCGATACCGATACCAATCCGATATTTTTATTTTATTTTTAAACTAATAAAAAATATTGCAATTTCCTCAATTAGCCCCTTAAAATATACCTCCAGTATATAGTCCACAACAACAGTTGAATATGAAAGATTGCCAACCTTTATTCAAACACTACTATATATATATATATACAGTATATATATATATATATATATATATATATATATATATATATATATATATATATATATATAAGAAAATACAGGTACTTCAGTACTTAAAGCTAGCTAGCTACCAACAGGTTTAAAGTTAAAACAATTTAAACACTTAAGTCATAATAAGTCATAATCTATGACAAAAAATGCTATTATAAACTAGATTAGTGAATAATACATATTGCTCTTTGTATTGTTGTAAAATACATTCATGAAAAACAATATAACAAAAATGAAAAAGATAATTATTTTAGATATAGCCAAGGCTACTAAATATTGAGACATGTTTTAAGTGTATAGCACAGCTATTTAATGAGGCAGCAACATTAATAATTATTAATGTTAATAAGCTTTAATTGCGTCACTGCATTATGATATGAATGACTCCAACACAGTGCGCTTATGTCTGATCGATGTCTTGGTCCTAATAATTTGTACTCTAGCTTTTCTTTGGCTATTGTAACTGTGTGTTTGAATAACACTATAGTTGTGAGTGACCAAGAAAGCCAAGAAAATTGACTCTCATCAGCTCCTTGTTGATGATGATGATGATGATGATGAAATCAATATAAAGTGGGCATTTAACGTTGTGTTTAGACTTTTGTGTTTGTATCTGGAGTTTATAACCACCAATGTTGTGGAACTGCATTAGTAGCATGGAAGTTGGACAAAAAGCAAATTTACACAATGTTTTGAGAAAAAGTACCATATAGTCACACACAGACATCAAGATTTTGCATATGATTCACAAAAATGGTGACAATAAATAAAAAAAAATGCTTCATGCTGCAATGCATGATTGGTAGCTTTCATAGTACAAAACATCCTCGATTCCCAGGCTTTTTTGTTTTGGTTGTCACCGTCGTTGAGAATCATATGCAAAATCTTGAAATCTGTGTGTGACTATGTGATTCACTTTCTTAAAACATATTATACACAGTGGTCATTATAAAGTTACTGGTCCAAATAATGCAGTTCCATAAGATGAATAATTGTAAATTTCAGATATAAAAACAAAAGTTTAGATATTGTTGAATGCTTGCATTGTGTTGATTTTTGTCATCATCAACAAGCAGCTGAAGACAACTAATTTTTAATTTTCTTGGCTTTCTCTGCACAATCAACGGTGTTATGCAAACAGTTACAACAGCCAAAGAAAAGCTAAAGTAAGAAAAATTGGGACCAAGAGCCCAACTAAAGCAAACACTCATCACCACAATGGTGATTTAAAATGAAACCAATATCACCATCTAAACCACATCTAAACAATGTAAATAAACATGAGTTTTAATTTAATGCATCCTGAGAGTGTTTATTTGGTCCAGAAACAGTTTAAATTGTCTAATAAGACCATAAGTTATGTTGAAACCATGTTGAACTTGTTTTTAACCTTGTACGAAGGATCCATGGTAACACTTTACAATAAGGTGTATTTATTAAACATTAGTTCATGCATTATTAACTAACATGAACTAATCATTTGTTACTGTATTTGTTATTCTTTGTTAACGTTAGTTAATACAAATCTAGCTGTTCATTGTTTGTTCATGTTAGTTCACAGTGCATTAACTAATGTTAACAAGATTTTAATATAGTATTAGTAAATGTTGAAATTAACATTAACAAAGATTTACAAATGCCGAATAAGTATTGTTCATTCTTTGTTAATGTTAACTAATTTAGTAACTAATGATCATTATTGCAAAGTGTTACCGGATCCATTAATGTCTAAATCAGACGTGCAGAACATATCACTAAAAAACGTCATAAAAACTTTCATTCTGGCCCCTCAGTGAACTTCTTGTCAATGTCAGACTTTTATGACAAAAACAAAATACAATATGAAGCAAACACCGATCTCCATAATGGTGACTTATAATTTTGATTTTTCACTTTCAGTGATTCTACTTGTTAACATCAGGTGTCTTCAATGTTGGTCAATTAATCACTTAATTATCTCATTAACTTTAACACTGCTTCAGTGTTAATTTAACACTCTTGAGTGTGGAGTCATATAAACTCCCAGGAGAGTTAATTTAACACTGGAGTGTTTTGCTGTGTACCGCCGTCACACCAACACTGAAGAGGACGCTCGTCTCAAAGAGTCTTGTCAGTGAGAAATGGCTTTAGGAGTAAAGAAGTCTCTTGGCTCCGAAGCGAAAACATACTGCGGTTGCGTTCACTTCCTCCTTTTATACCCAAGGGGTGAGGTGGAGTTACGCTATGCAAATTCTGCAGCCCCAAGGCATTTTCATGCCATTGGCTCGTTATTAAATACTCGAAGAGGATTGGCTTTCCATGTGAAACCCCCATTCTCCATCACTCCTGACGTGACTCGGAGTGACTACGAAAGGGAATGACAGTTTTCTCCTTCAGAGATTCTGCTTGTTAACATCAGATGTCTTCAAAAATGCTTAAGCATCACTCAATTATTCACTTAATTATCTCATTAACTTTAACACTGCTTCAGTGTTCATTTAACACTCTGCTCATAGATTGCTCATACATTTAACACTCTGTTTATATAATTCTCACTTATCAGTGTTAATTTAACACTCTCAGTGATAATTTAACACTGGGGATTATGCTGTGTGCATGTGGGCCAGATCGGCATCGCACAAGTGCCAGATGTGGGCCGGATCTGGGTCGAAACAATGTTACTATGTGGGTTTCATCTAAATCTATGGCTGGAAGTCAGTTGTAATTCTTGTTTTTCTCTTTCCTTCAGTGATTCTGCTTGTTATCATCAGGTTTCATCGATAATCAAACAATTCTCACTCAATTGATCACTTAATTATCTAATTAACTCTAACAAAGCTTTGTATTTCTTTGAACACTCTCCTGGTGTTTCCCTTATGAACACCTATAGCATAGTAATTCAGAACTGGGGAATTTACTGTGTGACGTGAAGTGAAGAGTAAACAAGATCGGATTCATGGTCATTACATCAGCTCAGCATGCAGACAAAAAGCAAAAAACATGGTTTAGACTTACACAGAATCACAAAGATGAGAGGATGAGCTTTTATAAAACCTGAAATATGAAGAAAAAGTCAATAAAAACAAATGAAATTGTATTGGATTGAGTCTGGGAAAACTACATTCAACATCCATTCACAATTCATAAGGTTTTTGGAGCAACAAGAGCCAATCTTTAAACAAAAGACACTACTCACCTTTATGAAAGGAAGCCATTGTCAGTTTTGACAGTCCAGTTTTTTTTTATTCACAATCCAGTTCAGAGGATGAGTTTCCTGTACAGTTAGAGAATATACAAATTAGCTATTGCATTTACGTAAACAATAATTAAAAAAATCTTTCAAACAAACACACATATAGAACATTTCACAGCATTTGATTTTGAGACTTTTAAAACAGTTTTGCCAAGCATTATGCAATAAAGGATGAAACAACTCGATCAATTCCTCATTTTACGAGGTAGCTATTGGATAATTCAAACTAGTAAGAGTCCTGAAAGCCCAAATTACTCAACTATAACTTAGTATTAACTTATATTAGTAGTATTCTAACTACACACAAATCAATTTTACCTGTAACTACACACACATCAGTTCATGTTTAGATATTAAGAGTGATGAGGATCATTTTAAGCAGAAAGATCTTACCTGATATAAGCTGATATACAGTGATCCTCACTCGACACGACTGATGAAAAAATTTGTATGTTGACAAGTTTATAGATAAGTTATCTGTCCATCATTCTAATGAGGAAATATGAACCCAAGTCCACTGTTTTCCTTCCTCAAATTCAAATACAACTTTCCACACAATACACAGTGAAATAACACCCCATGTTAAATTATGCCTCCGAGTAGGGCTGGGCGATATATCGCATGACATTGTTATGCACATCTAATAAAGCCGGTTCTTCGATTAGTAGTAAATCACCTTCACCTGCTTTCAGATGGAAGATATGACGCAGATATGAGTGTTAAATTAACACTCAAGAGTGTTAAAGTTAATGAGATAATTGATTAATTTAGTGATGATTGAGCATTATTGAAGACACCTGATGTTAACAAGCAGATCTGTGAAGGAGAAAAGTTGAGAAAATCACAAATTGTAAGCCACCGTTATGGTGATCAGTGTTTGCTTTAGTTTGACTCTTGACACTTATTATTTCACTTTATATTTGGTTTGTCTGCTGTTATAGATTTATAAAAGTCAAATGAACAAAGACAACTGTAGTCTGATAATGTTGGTTATGTTTATACATAATCATGCTGTGATCTGAAAAATGAAATCTATTCAGATGGTTTAGTTAAACTTGTTAGGAACAGCTTTGTGATTACGCAGTATATGATTATTATCAATATTTTTCTTATAATCCAAAATATTCAACCCTCAGAGACCTCAGAGGGCATTTTTACAATTAATTTTCTGTCTGGTGTTATTTACAAAAAAAACCTTTTGTGCACAGACAATTGACACACCTTTTTTTTTCAGGGCAAATTGAACTTTCAGCATATTTGTGTTGCACTGATGTCACCTGAATGTAAAATAAGTAATGGGACCATAAAGACAAATGAAAAAATAAATAAATCGGAAATTGAATAACTCAAATATTTATTGAAATTACACACAAATAAATAAAAGCTAATCAAATTTCCTCTGGAAAACAGTTTGTTCATGTCTTTGGAGCACAGGAATAAATATTATAACTGGTACAGAACCAAAACTATTTACATTTTTCCAAAAGAAGTCCAGGCTTTTTGGGCCTCATGAAATTCACTGGTGGCAAGCCTCAAAACAGTTCCTATCAGCAATCACACAGACGGCCACATCACAGGCTATTTCTATTTTATTTATAAAATAGAATTTCTATTTTATTTATTCTTTTATTTATTATATACTTTTTATACTTTTATACTAAATTTATACTACTATAATATTTTACAGTAAATGAATAAATGGCACTTCAGCTGGGTCTGTCCTGCTAATGTAATTCCTCATCTGTTCAAAAGCTCTGTTCTCCTGAAAATCCATCATTCTGCATGGCATCAAAAAAGGCCAGCGCTTTATTCACATCAATTTTTCTCTGTTTCTCTGTGAAATCCGCGTCTCAGTGCATCTCTCTCTCTCTCCACTATATCAGCGCTTGGTTCATGCGTAATGACACACACCAATGTTTACGACGGATCAGCCTGTAATTGGTCAAAAAACATCATGTGAAAACATCACATGATATCCAAAATGGCAGCTAGCATCGTGCAAGCGGCAAAAATGATGGAATATTTATAAATTATGGACTTCAAGAGTACCGAAGTTGGACATAAGCGTTTGGATTTATTGCTGAAAACCTCTGAAAGGATGCACAAGTTCCAGGCTCTATAGAAAACCGTATGTAAAGGCTAGAAAGACACCAAAGACACCCCCATGATGGCTAGTTCCGTTAGCTTTCTGCTGGAAAAAGAAAATCAATAAATCTGTCATCGAATAATATAAACATTTATCGGAGGTGATGTGTGGCGTCGTCTACAATGCCATCGGTCTCTTAGGGTTAATAAAGATTGTTCTAACCAAATCACTTTCAACTGAATTTATTTAGAAACACAGACATCAATAATCAGCCTGCGAATCTCAACAATGGCGACAATAACAATCCATGTTGCAGTGGGTGCCACCAATCACAACTCATTAATGGCTCCCACCATGTATTGCAGTATGAATAAATGATGATCTGAATTGTCTATTTAATTTACTTTTGCTAATTGAATATTCTGCTCGTCACCATTGTTGATATGCATTGACTGAATCTTGATGTCTGTGTGTCCCTAAAAGAGAATTTTTTTAAAACAACGTTTAAGAAATCCTTTATATTACATCTAAAATTATGGGTATTTATGCAGAATCACAGTTAAGGCCTGTTCACACCGGGACGTCGACGTTTAACGCCTCGTGACTAAACAATGGGCGCCAATGTGAGTGTTCACACCGACGCGAAAAACGCCACGCGTAAAAGCGTCATTTTAAAAAAAACGCCTCGGGTTCGTTTTTTTGGTTGGACGCGCCGCGTCAAAACCTATCCGACCAACGAGATTGGCTGGTTTGCTCACGTGTCTGGTACTTCTGAAGTTACAGTAAAGCACAACTTGGGGGCGTTCAAGCACAAAACGGTCTTGCCGAGCACACATACGGCGAAGAAGAGGTATCCTACAAGGCAAGATACCTATGGGCAAGATGAATGTTGAGCTGCTGGTCTCAGAGCATAAAGAGCTATATGATAATATTTATATTAGTATTTCTGTAATAATAGTATAGTATAGGGTGACCAACAGTCCTGTTTTCCCGGGACATGTGTAAAACGATCACTTTGTGCTTTATAGAAATCTGAGTTGAGATGAGAACTGCGCATAGTGTCAGTTAGATTTTGACAAGTGAGGAGAGGAGATAACCGCTCTGCCGACTCTTTGTATTCTTTCTTTTATTTCATTTTTCTATTGTGACCAGATGTTTGTTTGTTTGTTTGTTTTTTCTCGCTCGATCCCCATGTATGAGGACGAGTGTAACGTTTGAGTGGTTTTATTAAACGCGGGGAAATATGACAACTCTCGTCTCTCGTGCATCTGTTCATCTGACAACTAGTGCTGTCACATGTCTGTCCTGTCTTTGTTATGCACATGAGTTTTGTTATGTTGAGCCATGTGCTCTTGTCGTTGTCTGATCCCTCCCCTTGTTATCTGATCATTGGTTTAATTGTCCCACCTGTTATCCTCGTTTACCTCATTGTTGCCTGCCTATTTAGCCTTCCTGTGTTTGCTGTCCTGTGCTCGTTCGTTGTTAATGGTATGGTTATGTTGTGTGTAGTTCTGTGCCTGCCACGTCATGTCTTTGGATTTAGTTTTGAGACCTGGATTTCTTTTGTTTGGTTTGTTTGATTTATGTTTCACTTAATTAAAAGCTTCAAATCTACTCTGCATTTAAGTCCTCACTCCACTCTACACAACCCGAACCGTGACAGAACGAACGAGCCATTTGAGGACTCAGCAGAGGGAGTGATTTGAAGCTATGATGTCTGGTTCCTGCAAAAAGGAGGTTCGTATTCCTTCTCCTGCTACCCAGGATGAGAGGAAGCAGCAGAGGGGGAGTTCGCAATCTGGGGAGGTTCCGCCTCGGATGAATATTTTCGAGTGCTTTGCATTATGGGCTCGTATTACGGAGGAGACCATGGTGGTAGAATCTTCCAAGCCCCCTTCCATCGAACACGGATGGTCGTTTGAGGGAACTCGTTTGGCCAGGAGGAGGGTCCCTCTTCTGGGGGTCCCAGTTCCGGTGATCCCGAAACGGAGGAGGAGAAGGAAGACTTCCTCCGTGACTGACCCGGTGAGCCCAGTCCCGGTGGTCCCGGTTCCGGTGGTCCGGAGAAGGAATCACGTCCCGTCTGTCCAGCGAGAGACTGTTCACGTCCCGTCTGCCCAGCGAGAGCCGGTGCCTGTCCCTGAGCCGGTCCCTGTCCCTGAGCCGGTGCCTGTCCCTGAGCCGGTGCCTGTCCCTGAGCCGGTCCCTGTCCCTGAGCCGATGCCGGTGCCTGTCCCTGAGACGGTGCCTGTCCCTGAGCTGGTGCCTGTCCTTGAGCTGGAGCTCATGTTGGTTCAGGACCGAGTGTTTTTGTCTGTGTTTGTGTCCGTTCTTGTGACTGTGTCTGTTTTAGTGTCAGTTCCTGAGCCGGCGCCTGTTCCCGAGCCGGAGGCAGAGCCAGCGCCTGTTCCCGAGCCGGAGGCAGAGCCAGCGCCTGTTCACGAGCCAGTGTCTGGTCCCGAGGGTTCTTCACCGCCCTGGCTGCCCGAGTGGTCTTCCCCGTCCTGGCCACCCGAAGGGTCTGCACCGCCCTGGCCGCCCGAGGGGTCTGCACCGCCTTGGCCACCCGAGGGGTTTTTACCGCCGTGGCCACCTGAAAGATCTGCTCCATCCTGGCCGCCCGAAGGGTTTTCACCGCCCTGGCCACCCGAAGGGTTTTCACCGCCCTGGCCGCCCGAGGGGTCTTCACCGCCCTGGCCGCCCGAGGGGTCTTCACCGCCCTGGCCGCCCGAGGGGTCTTCACCGCCCTGGCCGCCCGAGGGGTCTTCACCGCCCTGGCCACCCGAGGGGTCTTCACCGCCCTGGCCGCCCGAAATGTCTGCTCCGCCCTGGTCGTCCGAGGGCTCTTCACCGCCCTGGCCACCTGATGGACTTTGTTTCTCGTTCTGGCCGCCCAATGGACTTTGTGTTTTGCCTGTGTCTCACAGGACTAAACGATTTGCCCCTCCCGTCCCGACCCTGGTCTGTCCCTCCTGTCCCACCCTGGTCTGTCCCCCCCTCCCGCCCTGGTCTATCCCTCCTGTTCCGCCTGATAGAGCGTCTGGTAGCCGCTCCGTAGGGAGGGGGTAGTGTCACATGTCTGTCCTGTCTTTGTTATGCACATGAGTTTTGTTATGTTGAGCCATGTGCTCTTGTCGTTGTCTGATCCCTCCCCTTGTTATCTGATCATTGGTTTAATTGTCCCACCTGTTATCCTCGTTTACCTCATTGTTGCCTGCCTATTTAGCCTTCCTGTGTTTGCTGTCCTGTGCTCGTTCGTTGTTAATGGTATGGTTATGTTGTGTGTAGTTCTGTGCCTGCCACGTCATGTCTTTGGATTTAGTTTTGAGACCTGGATTTCTTTTGTTT